CTGAATATTATTGAGGTGTTTTGGAGGAGCGAGTCCACCAGCATCATATAGTGACCTGGACACTGTTCTGGAAGAGGAACGGCTCATAATCCCTCTGGTCACTGTGAAGGACTTCTATCTGTCAATTGGTGCTGTATTTGGATGCAAAATGAGGCCCTCACCATTCTAACAAGTTATTGTGTAGTAAAACCAGGTGTTTCAGTTTTTTTGTCCAACCCCTGTATATATATATGTATACATATATATTTATGTTTTTTTTGCGATATAAAGATAATGGGAAAATAAATATATAAATATGTCTGTTCTTCTGGACACTCCACTTTCAAGAAAACTAAGAAATAAGCCATTCAGCGGTGTTCCAGAGGTTTCTTTCTCACCAATCTAATGCTCCTGAGACTGCTGGGCGAGAGCAGTCTCGGCCTATTAAGCTCCTCGCAGCACAAGGTGCAAAACCGAACAGTCTAGCCAGTAAGAGATATGCAAGATCTGAGGACTGTTTTATCTCTAAAAAAAGCTTGGACAAAGAAGAAGCCCTGACGCCGAGGCTACCCCAGAGGGGAAGGGACGGTTTTGAGAAATCATTTCTCCTCAGCACCCTTTGGGGTGCGACTCTCTGAGGAGGGTCGCAGCACTGCCAGTTCGGTTTCCCTGCCGGTTCGCCGTTTCAGGGCGCCGAGATGCCTGCTTTTTCCAACTGTCCTCCAAGGAGGGTCGTAGGAACTAAGCTAGTTAAGAGGTAGGCAAGATCTGAGGACTGTCATCATCTCTAATAAGCTTAGACAAGAAGTCCTGTCGCAAAATATGAGGCTATCAGGCTTCTGAGGGGCAGGGTTGGTTTTGAGAAATCGTTTCTCCTTGGCGACCTCTGGGGTGCGACTCTCTGAGGAGGGTCGCAGCGCTGCCAGTTCGGTTGTTCCCTGCCGGTTCGCCACTTTAGGGCACCAAAATGATTGTTTAAGCAAATCCAGAGGCCAGTCTTGAGAGACTGGTTCCCCAGTAGAATTTCTGGCAGCGTGGAAACTACTGTCACACATTTCTCAGTGGGTCCTGCACACTATAGAAAAGGGTTTCAGAATTCAGTTCGGTTCTCGTCCGCCCAGATTTCTTGGGATCCTCCTCACAGTGGTGGTCTCCCATTCGGCCTAGGTTTATCACCCCACACCTTTTCAATATGAGTGGATGCAGCTCTGGCTCTTCTAGACTCCAGGGCATTCGCGTATTATACTATCAATGATTGGTTGATCCAAGTTCAATCTGAGCATATGGCATTTCGGCATTGAGATGTCGTTCTGTCTCATTTAAAGATGTTGGGGGTTGTCTCTCAACGCCAAGAAGAGTGTGCTCTGAGGACCACTTTTCTAAGTGTAGCCTTTTACAGCCGTAAATGAGGTATATCTAGGCCAGTCACTCACTGTGAAACGTATTCAGACCAGTTGCTCTCATGGCAGCTGCGTCCAACATGATTACTTCTGTACATGAGACCCCTGCAGTGATGGCTCTGAGGAGAAAAATGTTTTCGCATGATCAAGGTCACGCGGCTTTGCCTTTGTGCTTCGGTCTTGTGGAAGAACCTTGGTTCCTCGCCCAGGTCCAGTGTTGGGGGCTTCTTGTCGACGCATAATGCTATCGACGGATACTTCCCTCACAAGTTGGAGGGGTATATCTAGGCCAGTCACTCACTGTCAAGCATTTTCAGACTGGTGGCTCTCATGGCAGCTGCGTCCAACGTAATTACTTTTGGCCTTCTGTACATGAGACCTCTGCAGTGATGGCTTAGGACCAAGGGGTTTTCTCCAAGGAGAATTACGCTTTTGCATAATCAATGTCACACAGCTTTGCCTTCATGCTTCGGTCATGTCGAAGAACCTTGGTCCCTCGCCCAGGCCCAGTGTTGGGGGTTTCTTGTCAATGCATAATTTATTTATTTATTTATAAAAATGTATTAGAGGATCAGCCCCATGCGATGAAGCATCTCGTTTTCATGGGGGTCCTCAGTACAATTTCCAAACAATAAAGAAAAGTAAAACAAGAGAGTAGATACAATATACAAGATACAAGAAAAATCTCAACGCACACACACACACACACACTCAGTTAACAACATACTGTCTATAAAAATCTAAAAATCTATTTTAACATATGTTAAGCAACCTCATTTATTTTTCCTCAACACCATCACGATTGAAAATGTGACATTTATTTCCTAAAACAAACAGGCTGTTTTTGTTCTGTTTCAGCAGCGAAAATGGTTCCAAACAAAAATCACAGCAGAACCACGGCGCATGTGACAGGGACACTCAACCTGTTTTCATTACTGAGTTATTCAGCATTTTCAACGTATCGATTGAGTCAAAGATTCAATGACCCATAAACATCTGTCTCATTCTTGAATGAATCAGCCATTTGAACGAATCGTTTTAATGAATTAATCAATGACTGAATCATTAAGATGGCCACCTGCCACCACCTACTGGTGGTTTAGTGTTAAATGTTTAAAAGTAGTATCATTCTTTCCAACGTTTCTTATATGTAAATTTAAATCAATTTCATAACATTATTTTATGCAACTGTAATTTTTCAGTGTATTAAATTATTTCAAATTATTTAATTTGATCAGCCCCAAGGGTAACAGCCCTATAGTGTCTTATTACTCAAAATAATTTAATTTATTAATCAAATTTAGGAATTTAAAATGAAAGATGAAGCATACATTTAATAATATTGGGGGAGGGGTTTCCCTTTAAAGGTGCAGAAATTACAATATGGTGATTTAAATATCAAAGCTGATAGAACACTGATGAGAATATTGTTTCAGAATAAATTAACACACACAAAATAAAAATGAAATATCCGGACGAACAACTTTTTTACTCGGACAAGTGAATGACAGATTTACTTGTCCGAAGGACGAGCGTATGAAAAGGCTTAATGTTGAGCCCTCCCTATATAGCAATGTCATCAGGAGATACACATACACCCGTAGGCAGTGGCCCACCTTACCTGGTGACCACGTCGTGGTCCACCAGAATTGATAGTTTACCCACCTCTTTTTTTACCACTACACCTCTGAGTATAGGAGACTATAAGTCTGATTGGACATCCATGACATGCGGAGTCCCTCAAGGCTCAATTCTTGCTCCACTCCTATTCAACCTGGATGACAAGCCACATTGGAACAATGCCCCCACTGAATAACGTCAGGCCGTAATTCCTCTGGCACAAATAAGTGATTTGGTGGGCAACCGACCGGAGGCGTTACCCCTTGTAAGGCCGTCTGGACCTTCGATTCGACCTCCCATATGAGTGTAGAGTGTAGAGATAATTAGAGTCTCTGGAAAAATGCAATCCAGGGTAGACGGTTGATCGGAGCGGTCAAAAATGTGTGATAAATAATCGGGCTTGATGTTTTTGGAGCCCGGGCGGTACAAGAAAGAAAAGTCTAAACGTCCGAAAAAAGTTCCTGCACTCGTTCATCAAAATGAACAAATCTTTTTTCGAGTCATTTGGTTCATTCAACGAACGAAATGAACGAATTGAAAGATTCGTTCATTTTGATGAACGAGTTCGAACAGGAGAGTCACGAACGTGCATCACAGTACAGAGCAAGGCGAGCATTTGAGCTTATAAAACTTAAACTTTGTTATTTATTTATAAAATGAGCGATCGTTTCGCTTGATAAGACCCTGATTCATCGTCTGGAATTGTTTAAAGCCCTTTGAACAGTTTGCAGTTTGCACTGAAACTGTCTTTTGGACCTTGAACAGTTTGGTTACCAGTAACGTGCATTATTCGGTTCCCACTGAAGTCCATTATATGGAGAAAAATCCTGGAATGTTTACATCAAAAACCTTAATTTCTTTTCGACTGAAGAAGAATGACATGGACATCTTGGAGTGAGTAAATTATCAGAAAAGGTTGTTTTTTTAAATGAACTACTACTTTAATGTGATAATGCAATTTACTCATCAAAATTAATAAAACAGTTAAATGCAATCTCAGAATTTTATACAAAACTATAACTATATTAAATTACACAAATATAGTTTTATGTATTTAATCTCACTTTATTAACCAATGTCCTTGCTGCTGACCACAAATTTAGCATATTTAGAAATAAGAGTGTTGAACTTCCTTCTCCTGTATCCTATTGTTCTTAAATACAGAATGGCAGCAAAGTTGAAAGGTATGTTTGAGTGGCGGCTTCTACTGTACAGGCTTAAATATGCATTTGCTTCCTAAAAGGTGCCAAAATATAATTTTTTTGTTATTATTAAAAAACAAACAAGTCAGCCCAGCCCAGGTGAGAAAAGATAACACAAAAGTAATGGAACACTACTTTTCATTAAAAAAAAGTACTTTCCTCACATAAAAAAAAGTACGGTCCTCACTGCAGAACACCAAATCCAGGGGGAGGAGTTGAATTTAGATCGAACTCCTCTCACCATACATATCCTACCCATCTCCACCCCCTGATCCCTAACCCCACCCCTAATCCTACCTTTCTTCTGCAATGAGGTGCAACTGACTTTTTTGGGGAGTAACGCAATATTGTAATGCATTACTTTAAACTAAAGGTTTATAAATATCCCAAACCATGTTTTTATATAAATGTAGTGTTTTGTGATGGGTAGGTTTAGTGGTTGGGGTTTGGTTAGGCTATAAAAAATATAATTATCCTGATATAAAATCAATGGGAGTCTATGCAAACTCCTTAGTAATACATTAAAACAAAAAAAACATGTGTGTGTTTTTATTAATTTAAAAATCTATTATTGTGATGTCATATTAGATAAAATAAGGATATATACTTATATTAAAAAAATACTAAATGGAACAAACCAATTATCAATGTAAGTAAATTAATTTTGCCAAAACTGAAGTTGACTTAAAATCTGTCAAAACATGTTTTATTTTTATATATTGCGTTTATTTGGATCACTAAGAATTGATGTCTTGGTAATTTTAAGATCTGCACACTCTTTGGGTCTTATGTCTTTCAGCGCAGTGTTCAGGACCCCCAGTGCTCTGCTGTGCTGGACAGAATAACGGATGTAGCCGTGGGTGTTACTGTGATGAGGCTTGCGTCACAATCGGTGACTGCTGTCCTGACTACCAGCAGACGTGCATTCAATGTAAGATTTCATAGTCTCAACACAAAACATCCATCCAAGTCTCTACATTTTTAAATCAAAAAATTTACATTTAAAAATCACACCAATCTAAAATCACACCAATCTAATGCCACAGAATCTAATTTTATATGATCTTCCTAATTCTTACCATCAGCAGCAAATGCACAGCTCTCCTCACCATCTTTAGCAACAACGACACCAGACTCACCAACTTTGTCACCCTCATCATCTTCATTGCCAGATCCTTCACCCTCATCATCTTCATTGCCAGTTACTCCACCCTCATCATCTTCATTGCCAGATACTTCACCCTCATCATCTTCATTGCCAGATCCTTCACCCTCATCATCTTCATTGCCAGTTACTCCACCCTCATCATCTTCATTGCCAGATACTTCACCCTCATCATCTTCATTGCCAGATCCTTCACCCTCATCATCTTCATTGCCAGATACTCCACCCTCATCATCTTCATTGCCAGATCCTTCATTCTCATCATCTTCATTGCCAGATCCTTCACCCTCATCATCTTCATTGCCAGATACTTCACCCTCATCATCGTCATTGCCAGATCCTTCACCCTCATCATCTTCATTGCCAGATACTCCACCCTCATCATCTTCATTGCCAGATCCTTCATTCTCATCATCTTCATTGCCAGATCCTTCACCCTCATCATCTTCATTGCCAGATACTTCACCCTCATCATCTTCATTGCCAGATACTTCACCCTCATCATCTTCATTGCCAGATCCTCCACCCTCATCATCTTCATTGCCAGATCCTTCACCCTCATCATCTTCATTGCCAGATACTTCACCCTCATCATCTTCATTGCCAGATCCTTCACCCTCATCATCTTCATTGCCAGATCCTTCACCCTCATCATCTTCGTTGCCAGATCCTCCACCCTCATCATCTTCATTGCCAGATCCTCCACCCTCATCATCTTCATTGCCAGATACTTCACCCTCATCATCTTCATTGCCAGATCCTTCACCCTCATCATCTTCATTGCCAGATCCTCCACCCTCATCATCTTCATTGCCAGATCCTTCACCCTCATCATCTTCATTGCCAGATCCTTCACCCTCATCATCGTCATTGCCAGATCCTTCAGCCTCATCATCTTCATTGCCAGATACTTCATCCTCATCATCTTCATTGCCAGATACTTCATCCTCATCATCGTCATTGCCAGATCCTTCACCCTCATCATCGTCATTGCCAGATCCTTCACCCTCATCATCTTCATTGCCAGATACTTCATCCTCATCATCTTCATTGCCAGATACTTCACACTCATCATTGCCAGATACTTCATCCTCATCATCTTCATTTCCAGATCCTTCACCCTCATCATCTTCATTGCCAGATCCTTCACCCTCATCATCTTCATTGCCAGATCCTTCACCCCCATCATCTTCATTGCCAGATACTCCACCCTCATCATCTTCATTGCCAGATCCTTCACCCTCATCATCTTCATTGCCAGTTACTTCACCCTCATCATCTTCATGGCCAGTTACCTTATCTTCACAAACCTCAGCACCATCATCATCTTCACAGTCAACAACCTCTCCAACATCTTCATCAATACCCTCATTATCAGGTGACTGTTTTAACTATTTTAATAAATAATATAAATTGGCTGTATACCACATTGTGTATGTATGCTTGTTACCGCATGATTTTTATGTGAGATGGCATATTCTAAGTTAGGAAACCAACAGTAGTTATTTAACCACTAGAGGGCAGAACAAATTAAGAGATGACCAAATGTACAACGGCATTTGTGTGTGCATTTTAAAATAAGATGGAATGATGGTCAAACTCTTGCCACAATTATGGAAGACTAAAGGCGGGCATACACTATGCGATTTTCATCCGATTTTGAGCCGAATTCTGACTCGTGCGACTCTTTTTCGTGTCGGACCGATTTTCAGCTTTGTCGTGCGTCGTTTGTCGTGCAGTGTTCGTGCAGTGTACAGGGAGAAACAAGAGGCGATTAACCTCTCACAATCGACAATCGGATGGTTGGATGAATTTCTGGCATGTCAGAAATTTTGGTCGCTCCTCGTGACTATATCGCACAGTTGAAGCAAAGCTACGAACCGATTGCCCTAAACTCAGTGTTTTTTTCCCTCACTGCACCTGCGTGAAAACAGAAGTTTAACCATTTCATCTGCAGCAAAAATAAAATTAAAATAAAAACGAAAAGAGGGAGCGCTTTAAGTTCTGTAGTTCAAACTAACTACAAATTACTGTTGCTTACCTCCAGTTCGTGTTGCAAAATGAATAATATTACCCACCGTCTTCCAAGCCTCCTGCGATGCAACACCTCTTTTATTAATTTGTCAAACAATGTTTTTGAAATAAACCTGTTTTTTAATTTTCATTGATGATTAATTATGGCAATGTTCGGACATATTATAGACGGTTAATAGTTATTTTATATGCCTATAATTCATTGTAATCGACCTAAATGTTTTAGACTATTTTTAATGAGGAGTAAGATTATGTAATATTTTATTATCCTCGCAGCATGTGGGTTATGTGCTGTGAAAATATTGCGTGGCAAATTAATTATAATAGCGGATCAATTTAATAATAAAATTAGCCTGCAGGCCTCCCCTAATAATGATAATACAATAATACTAATAATAATTAAATGCATAAATTAAAAATACTAAATCATCTTGATACTGATAGCAGATGGTTGTTTTGACAATATCTCTGGATACATACACGTAAATAGGCGCAATCCAGGGGGTTATCGCAGGTATTACACGTATAGTGTGAGCAGTGAAGTCGCAGCTCGACGATCGGACCGTACAGTGTGAGCACATAAATCCTGAACTTTGGCTTTGCATCGCATGCGATTTACTCGTTGAGTGTGAGTAGGTACCTTGCTGAAATCGCACAGACATCGCACAGTGTATGCCCGCCTTAACACAGAAAGAATTAGGAAAAAGGAAAGAAAGGTGAAAAACCTAAATACAAAACAGAATCATTAAACAGAAATTTTGTCAAAGCTGTGCTTCTATATCCATCATGACAACTCTCACATTGTTTGGCACAGTAATGGATATGACAAATGTTATTAAGTTAATATGGCTTCTCAAACATAAAAAATTTGAATCTGTGGCTTTAACAAAAAAAAGCCCGAAGCATACCCCCAACAGAGATTTAAACCTCCGCCCAGATAATATTCAAAAATAAGAAAGGCAAAACAACAAACTAAAATAACAAACAGTTTACCGATGGAAGGATTGAAAACCCATCTGAGGACACTCTAATTACCTGGAGTCTACTCATTTATACAGGTTAACACTAAAACATTATAAAATCACTTAAACATGTAACAATCCCGGACGAGCCCCCAATTTTATGTTACGGCCAGCTCGATTTAACCCGGAGATGGATCAACCACAAATAATCAATGAAAGGAAAAGGTTTTATTCTCTTTAACAAATATAACAATAACCACTCATAACAAACAGAAGTCTAGGGAAAAAATAAATGAAATAACTACAACAAAATATTAAGGCTAAATGATATAAGATAAGTATAAGAAAGAAAATCAGTGAAATGTAAAGAGCCACTCCTGTGATAAAACCATCACACAGAGAGTGCTAACAAATGAAAAACAATGGAGCACTTAAATGCTCCATTTCCTAATTAACAATTAATTGGAAACTTCCACAGACTGCCACCATTAGGTAAGGAGAACACTCACAATTAGTCTTCCCCAAGTGTGTCTTGTTTACTTGTTTAGCCATGTGTATTTAAACTTGTTTAGCCCTGTGTGTTTTCTGTGTTCTTTGTCAGGTCTTGTCCTCATTCTGGTCTTGGTTCTCTGGTCTCGCCCTGTTTTTGTTTATTTTGTTATGGATCCAGCTCTCCCTCTATTTCTTGAGTTCACCCTGTGTTACAACAACATTGGTGTGCAACGATAATCAAACTTTTGCCATTAATAAAAAACAACAACACTAGTAGTGGGGGAAGAATTAGGAAAAAGAATAGTATTTGAAATATCTTGAAAAAAACAAAAACAGACCAGACTCCTTATACAGAACAGAACTTTTGTCAAAGCTGTGCATATTTCGATTTATATGCAGTATATTTGGATCACCAAGTATTGCTGTTATTTGTATTGTTGTGTGTTGATCATTTTATGAGATGCACACTTTATGTTCTCTGTGTCTATGTCTTATGTCTTTCAGGCCAGTGTTCAGTACCCACAGTGCTCTGCTGTGCTGGACATGATAACTCATGCTACCGTGGGTGTTACTGTGATGAGGCTTGCATCCTAATCGGCGACTGCTGTCCTGACTACCAGCAGATGTGCATTCAATGTAAGACTTAATAATGTAATGTAATGTAATAATGTAATTCAACACAAAACATCCATCCAAGAAGTCTTAATGATATTTTAAAAGTGTTAATCATCTTCCTCATTCTTACCATCATCAGCACATTCACAGCCTTCATCACCATCTTTAGCAACATTACCATCATCAACATGGACGACACCACACTCGCAAACTTTGTCATCCTCATCATCTTCATTGCCAGATACTTCATCCTCATCATCTTCATTGCCAGATACTTCATCTTCACAAACCTCAGCACCATCATCATTCTCACAGTCAACAACCTCTCCAACATCTTCATCATCAATACCCTCATTATCACGTGACTATTTTTATTAGTAATAATAATTTTATTGGCTGATTCCTGCATTGTACAAGTTACACACAAATTCGTTCTGCTCGTGTTTCATGAATGAGACCCATAGTGTTTTCTAAGTTAAGAAAACACTGAATCTGAGGGATTGTCATGCTTTATAAACAGCCTGGTATCACTATTATTCCATGTCAAAGAAGCTGATCTGCCAAACAACAGTAATGCTATTTAACCACTAGAAGGCAGAACATCTTAAGGGATGACAAAATGTACAACGGCATTGGTGTGTGCATTTTAAAGCCAAAATAAAATGCAACGATGATCAAGCTTTTGCCATAAGTAAAAACAACAACAACACTAGTACCAGGGGAAGAATTAGGAAAAAAATTTCCATTACATGAGAGTAGATGTTAAAAATTCATGCTGATTTGTAGTCACTTTCGCCAAGATAAGCACAAACTAAGACGTAGATTTACAGTAAACTATGCTTCTCCATCCATTTACGCTTCCTTCCAAATGGTGATGTGAATCTCCTTCTGTCCGGTGTTAACGGCTCCAGTGTACGTGGGCACACAACGGCTGCAACTACAGGGTGGTCTCTCTCAGTGCACCAGCATCACAACCATCTGGATTGAGTTGAGTAGGGGGCATCTCTAGGGTCTTCACGTGGGCACCTTCTGTCCTCAGTGTTTCGTTGACTAGCCCATGACACCTCAAGAGTGCTCGACAGTGACCCTGGGGTCCCAGAGTCACCCCCTTCTGTCCCCCACTCAACTCAGCCCAGCTTACTGACCTCTACATCCCTCCTGCTGCTGTGACCTAACCACAATCTCTCCGCAACCCAACCATACGCACCAATCCGTTTGACTAAGGCTGTCGAGCCCCACTGTCTTCGTTAAAGTAGCTTCAGTGGCAACGGTTCCGTAGGGCATACCACCTACCGCAAAACACAATATCTGCCCAAACACCAACCCTCATTCATGTAATATACACAGTAACATAACTGTAATTACTATGCAAACTATACAAATAAACCAACAGACTCTTCAAGTTTTTCAAGAATTCTACGAAACCGTAGTTTGGCGGCCTGTACACAGCCAGCTAGAATCTTTCCGTCTCAACCACAGCCAGTTGCTGCTCCTTTCTGGTATTTCAGATAAGCTCTTTACTGTGCGATGCAACTCTTGACCACTGAATCCCACGTCTCTGAGGAACCGGGTTGTAGAGTGTGCAAGAAAAGTAGTTGAAAAACCAACAGATCCCTTATACAGATCAGAACTTTTGTCAACACTGTGCATATTTTGATTAATATGCAGTATATATTTGCATCACCAAGTATTGCTGTAGTTTTAATTGCCATGTCTTGCTCATTTTATGATATTATGTCTTTCAGGCCAGTGTTCAGTACCCACAGTGCTCTGCTGTGCTGGACATGATAACTCATGCTACCGTGGGTGTTTCTGTGATGAGGTTTGCATCCTGATCGGTGACTGCTGTCCTGACTACCAGCAGATGTGCATTCAATGTAAGACTTAATAGTCTCAACACAAAACATCCATCCAAGAAGTCTTAATGATATTTTAAAAGTGTTAAATGTCATCTTCCTCTTTCTTACCATCATCAGCACATTCACAGCCTTCATCACCATCTTTAGCAACATTACCATCATCAACATGGACGACACCACACTCGCCAACTTTGTCATCCTCATCATCTTCATTGCCAGTTACTCTATCTTCACAAACCTCAGCACCATCATCATCCTCACAGTCAACAACCTCTCCAACATCCTCATCATCAATACCCTCATTATCAGGTGACTATTTTAACAATTTGTAATAACATGTATGCGAATAAAAAAGAAAGATTTCTCGGATGCAGAAATTGAAGTTTTATTATCAGAAGTTCATTCAAAACGCCAATATTTATTTTCAAGCATACATAGTGGCGTAGCCTATCAGGTCCTAAAAAGTAAGCTTGGCAGCATATTACAGATGCAGTTAATGGAGTTTCATCTGTTAATCGAACAGTCCCAGAAGTGAGAAGAAAATGGTTCGACATTAAGCTCGACAGCAAAAAAAACAAAAAAAACGAATTAGTTCACTTCAGAAAAATCGTATTCAAACTGGAGAAGGACCACCATCACCAAATCTGCTATTACTGGCTCTCATAATAAAAGTAAAAAGAAAAAAACGTATGTAATTACTATCTAAAATATTTTTTCAAAATGCTGTTTAAATATGTACCCAATTAAGGTGAATTAAAATGCAGCCTTATTAATGAGCAAAACGTTCGGATGTTAAGCGCACCATTTACGCGTGGCTGGGAGCAGGTGTAGATTTCTTGCGTACCAACTAACATTTGGAAAATACAAACATTTTAATGAATCCGAAAATTTATGCCAGAACCACTTTACACACGATTTACACACAAATTTGTTCTGCTCGTGTTTCATGAATGAGACCCATGGTGTTTTCTAAGTTAAGAAAACACTGAAACTGAGGGATTGTCATGCTTTATAAACAGCCTGGTATCACTATTATTCCATGTCAAAGAAGCTGATCTGCCAAACAACAGTAGTGCTATTAACCACTAGAAGGCAGAACATCTTAAGCGATGACAAAATGTACAACGGCATTGGTGTGTGCATTTTAAAGAACAGATCAGAACTTTTGTCAACACTGTGCATATTTTGATTAATATGCAGTCATAGGCGGAAATCGCGGGGGGGTCGGGGGGGTCAGGACCCCCCCTATCTGAGGGTTGTCCACCCAAAAAAAAACATTAAAATATGTGTATTGTAAATAATGTAATGATATATTCTTAAAATAATTAAGAAATAAAATAACACAAATGCAAACGGGGCAATTACGAAAAAAGCGTTCTAAACATTTTGAGACCCCCCTCCCTTGCCTCACAGTGCATTGGTCCACTGCCTCCGTCCCTTTTACCTCAGACACGCACATTCCGGTGGCGGGAGAGAAAAACATATAGTGTTTGAATAGTTGTGGAACTCCAGTAAAGTAGGTCGCACACCGGACGAGAAGCGTAGCGGCGCGTCGCGCAGCGCATCGTCTTTAAAATTCGAACACATTATTCTCTATGAGTTTACACATACCGGCGGCGCCGTTCGGCGTCTGTCCGCGGCGCCCAGCAACGGCTCAGGACCGTGTTCAAAACCCTGCTGCGCCACAGAGCGCCATTTACGTAGTTTTATATACAATTTAAATTATTTTTGTCTCAAATCGGTGCTGACGGATCCTGACTTCGCCCTATGCTGCAATATACATTTAGTTTTGCATTTATTTACAGAAATCAGCTACTTGAATGACAATTGCTGATGTTATTGGACTTTTTAGGTGAGATTCTCAATTCATTCAGTTAACGGGTGATCTGAGGTAAAGTTTTCAGACCGCAGACTCAGCAACGATTGTATTTAATTGTACAGTACAATAATAACAGACACTATCTTCATGTCATTAAACATTACAATATTGCTGGCCATACACTGATGAGAAAGTCCGGGTGCGCTGTGCATTTAGATTCTAACGCTTTCACTGTGATTTAGTTGGTTTATATCATTTAATATAGTTAAAGAATGAGTCAATAAATGAAATGAATCGCTGCGCTGCGTGAGGAGAGTATGTAAACAGATTCGCCGCTGGCTTAAACCAGAAAGAAATTTTAAGAAGTATAATGAAATGGTCTCCATGCTTTCTACAGGCTTTCCTCTGTATTTTTTTGCCTGTATTATTGGTGTCCCCTTCAAAATTTGCTCTTGAGAATTGTTATGTTTATTGTCCCCCCCAACATTTTGATGAAATTTTCGCCCCTGTATGCAGTATATATTTGCATCACCAAGTATTGCTGTAGTTTTAATTGCTGTGTCTTGCTCATTTTATGATATTATGTCTTTCAGGCCAGTGTTCAGTACCCACAGTGCTCTGCTGTGCTGGACATGATAACTCATGCTACCGTGGGTGTTTCTGCGATGAGGTTTGCATCCTGATCGGTGACTGCTGTCCTGACTACCAGCAGACGTGCATTCAATGTAAGACTTAATAGTCTCAACACAAAACATCCATCCAAGAAGTCTTAATGATATTTTAAAAGTGTTAATCATCTTCCTCATTCTTACCATCATCAGCACATTCACAGCCTTCATCACCATCTTTAGCAACATTACCATCATCAACATGGACGACACCACACTCGCCAACTTTGTCATCCTCATCATCTTCATTGCCAGTTACTCTATCTTCACAAACCTCAGCACCATCATCATCATCACAGTCAAGAACTTCTCCAACATCTTCATCGTCAATACCCTCATTATCAGGTGACTATTTTAAAGAGCCCCTATCATAGCATTTGAAATGTTCCTATTTTTGTTTTGGGAGTTCCCAAAAACAGTTTAACGTGCATGCAAGGATAAAAAAACACTTTATTTGTCTTATAATATGCATTTATTTTTACCTGATTTGCTCAACGACTCCCAAATGATTCGTTCGACGATTCATTTTCCCAAACACCTCCTTTGAATGACGCGAATCTGCGGCGATTGGTCAAATGACCCAGTCGGTTGTTATTGGTAAACCGTAGGCTGAGATTGTCGGAAACGGAACACCCATCACCATTAATGGATTATATCTTGTCAAGTGTTGAAAATTGTATACAGCGTATGAACAAACGTGTCAGAAAAAGAGCACTTTCCATACGCCCCCTTACTCGCGACTCCTTCAAGAGCAAGCTTTCCTGGCAAAACTCACATTGTGGCGGCTTTTGAGGGGCAGTGCTTATTATATAGAGCGAAAATATGGGAAATTAAGCTTGTGAAATGTTGTTAGCCTTGCCTTTTTAGTGGCAATGGAGTTTAAATAACTTTTGGCTTAGTCGTTTAGGAGGTAATTGCCTAGTGTACACAACAGAAAACATAACAGCAAACATTATTTATTTATTTTAAAAAAAAAAAATTTTTATTGGAACAAAGAACACAAAAGTTATCATGGATGTTACAATATCAGACAGTATCACAAAATAATTCCAACATCTTGATATATAATATCACACTCAATGGTTTACATACATTATCTATTTTTCCCAAACAGCAAACATTATTAATAATACTTACAGATTGTGATTCGGAGGAGGACGAACCTGATCCATATACACTAGATACTGAGCCCTCCTTCGGGAACAACCGGCTTGCGAATCCACATTTGAATTTATTTATGTTTTTGAATGATTCGTCATTAAAATGATGAGAACACAAGGTTCGGGCTATACTGTTGTGGTATCGTTTTGTAGTGAAGTTTTATTCTTCAATGCAACAGACCAGGAGACTCTTGAGGTATCTTTCACGCAGACGTTATTTAATGCGTCGCTGTAGTCATCTCAAAATAAGTCTGATTTAAAAGAACCTTACATTCTAGTTTATACATTTCAAAGAGCGCGGGATTACATAAAAGGTGGGGACACTGAAACAAAGCAAATGTAAATGCATGTGACCCTAGAGCTCCAAGGCAAATGGTAACCTAGCAGGTGTTCAAACTTCAGACAGGCATTTTCCCACGGTGAGACGAGAAACAGGAAAGGCATGGCTTTCCTGTGTGGTCACAGGACAGTCAGTAGTGTCACGCTGGAAAACTCCTACTGTTTTCAAAGATTTAGAGACTTTCTCCATTTAAAACATTAAATTAAACATATTAATAAAATTTGGAATCTCGCAGTTGCAAATATGAACTCTATCCACGGATTCTTCACATGCTCGTCCCTGGGCAATGAAAACAAGTGGCTGAACTGTCTTTGCAATGTAGAAAACAGCGTCTTCTCGACATGATGCGATTCAGCTGAAGTATTTGAATGTGTTCTAGACGTCACTTCAAATCTGCGCACGCAGTTGTTGGGAACGGCCAATGACCTCTCTACGTCACGATGTAACAGCTAATGACTCGTTTCAAAAACAATTCATTTCATAGACTCAGAGTCGACTCTCACTTTTGAAAGACAATAACTTTATATACGGTGCACTTTCAGATATAAATCTTTGCAGGATGTTTTCATTCCCTTAGAGCTATAGTCCACACTACAAGAACAGTCATTTTCAAAAACCCATGATAGGGGCTCTTTAACAATTTGTAATAATAATTGAATTGGCTGATTCCCGCATTGTACATGTTAGCCTGTTAAAACGTGTTTTTTTTAAAATGTGAACTGAGGGATTGTCATGCTTTATTAACAGCCTGGTATCACAATTATTCTATGTTAAAGAAGCTGACCTGCCAAACAGCAGTATGCTATTTAACCACTAGAAGGCAGAACATCTTAAGGGACGACAAAATGTACAACGGCATTGGTGTGTGCATTTTAATGTCAAAATAAGATGCAATGATGGCCAAACTCTTGCCATAATTATGGAAGACTAACAGAGGAAGAATTAGGAAAAATGAAAGAAATGTGAAAAACCTAAACACAAAACAGAATCATTAAACAGAAATTTTGTCAAAGCTGGGCTTCTATATTCATCATGACAACTCTCACATTGTTTGGCACAGTAATGGACAGGGGTGCTGCTAGAAATTCTGGGCCCTATGGAAACCAACATTTCTGGGCCCCCTACATTTTTTACAGATAGAATTTAACCCAATAAGCATGCCCAGACTAGTATACTTAGCACATTGCATAGTTAAATGTGTAAAGATGAGTACAAAGCCTACAAAAACAAGAAAAATAGAAATATGTACTTGTTTAGCCTACATAAAAGGGAGCACAAAAGAACATAATGTAAACATACTAATACTTCAAACAATACACGTATCAAATACAACGAACAAGCACAGGACAGCAAACACAGGAAGACTAAATAGGCAGGCAAACAAAGGAGGGTAACGAGACAGACAGGTGGAGCAAATAAACCAATAATCAGATAACAAGGGGGAGGGATCAAACAATGACAAGAGCACATGGCTCAACATAACAAAACACCCGTGTGCACCACAAGACAGGACAGGCATGTGACACCTCCATACAGAATCTCTCCAGATCCTGCAGATTCCCAGATCCATGTTGGTGCTTCTTCTCTTCAGTTCAGACCACTCATCAGGACACTGTGACGGTCATGGCAGAAGCTTCATTTTGTGCTCCGTAACTAATTTTTGTGTTGATTTTTTATTTTTGTTTTGGATTGTTGTCCTGATGGAAGATCCAACCACGGCCCATTATAAGATTTCTAGCAGAAGCCGTCAGGTTTTGATTTTTTATCTGTTGATATTTGATAGAATCCATAATGCCATGTATCTGAACTAGAAGTCCAGGACCTCCAGCAGAAAAATATGCCCACAACATTAAAGATCAAACGTTTTATTCAATTGTACACATGGGGTACTTTTTATCCCTGTGTCCACCAAACCCATCTAGTGCCCAAGACTTAACTAATCTCTGCAATTATCCATCTGTGATCCTTGAAGAGTCTTTGGCCCCGTCCACACTACAGCGTTTTTGATTAAAAGCGGAGAATTAAAACGAATACGATCTCCGTCCACACCACCGTTTTATCTGCATTTCTCCGTCCAACACTGGGCATGCGCGTGCCGGTGTAAACAGTGGCTGGCGAATCATGGAAGGATACGTCATGGCTGATGACAACTAATCATAGAGCCGAACGTGAGCCTCTGCGTCATCGTTTCTAAACTCCTCCATTTTGTTCCGTCTACGCCCTCCACGCAAAACGGAGCTGCAGCGTTTCTAAACTTCTCCGTTTTAGGTCTTTGTTTTTCCCGTTTTAGTCTGGACAGGAGGTGCAAACGTAGCAAAAGGTCTCTGTTTTAAAACGAAAATGCAGTAGTGTGGATGGGGCCTTTGGCTACTCAAACTTTCAACCTCACCGTCCATTAAGAAAATATAGACACACATCCTCTTCCTGCTAGATTCCTAACATCTTTAGTTAATTGGAATTTCTTAATTATTGCCCTGATTGTCAAAATGAGGATTTTCAATTCTTTAGCTATTTTCTTACAGCCACTTTCTATTTTGTGAAGCTCAACAATCTTTTGATGCACCAGAACTAGATTCTTTGGTTTTACTCATTGTGATGATGGATGATTAAGGGAATTTGGCATTTGTGTTTCCTCATATTTAAACTCCTGTGAAACAAAAAGTCACGACTGGACAATTTCATGCCCCTAGTCACCCTGATGTGCTTAAAAATTTCAATATTAATGGGAATGTACTTAAGAGATATTTTACTCGTAAAATATTCTAAGGGGTGCCAATAATTGTGGCCAATTATTTCATAATGTGATTTTCACCCCACGTTTAATTCTTTTACTTCAATGAAAGGTTAGAATTTTGTTTTATTAGACCATAGGTTCATTTTGCGCCAGAGTTCTCCTTTAAGTTTTCCTCTTTTTCGTGATGAATTTACCTCGTTTCATCCACGGCGTCGAGTTTTGGCCAGGTTAAAGCCCGCTTCATCAACAAAAATGTACTTGTGATGGTTTACATCAGCGTCAAGCACCATAACCCTCTAAAAGATATATTTTGGTTAGTTCTTTTTTCAGTGTTGTTCCAATATACATATGACGTAAGTGATGCATCAAATAGTAACAGTAATACAATATATAGTGCTGTACCTGAACATACTCAGCCCTTAGTTGTTTCACCCGGTCATTGTTTCTCTCAAAAGGCACCAGGTAAATTTGTTTCATTGATAACTGGTGCCTCTTTAAAAGGCAGCCTATTGTTGGTAGGCTGATGGATGCCACATTGGCAAAGGTGTCATTGTTCTCCTCAATTGCCTGCTTTATTTCTGACAGCCGTATGTCATTCCTGGCCCTCAATATTTCCACCACTGCCCTTTCTTGCTGGTCGGTCAGCACACAGCCACGGCCACCACTATGGGGTTTTCTGTCAATTCTAAGCATAAAACAGTATACTGTCAATAAATCATCCTGTACTGTACAATACTGTAACATGTCTGATGAATTTACATGCATTACAATTTACTGTAAATGTAATAGTGTACATCCTCTACACTTACCGGTTTCCGCGGCGAAAAGTTCGGATGATAGAATTGAAATCTGGCAGCCTCTGGCATATTAAGGCCTCGGTTCAGCACATGATCAATGATGATGGCCCGGACTTCATTAGAGACAACGGTTCTGACTCCCTTTCTCTGATGACCAACCCTTTGACGGGCCCCATGCCCACCTCTCTGACGGAGCCTTTGTCCACGAGCTCTTCCTATTCCTTGCTGTCTATCCTGCTCCATGTTGAAAGAAATTGCCAGTGTTTACACCCTACTTTTACATAGTGCCAGCAGCCATATCACCCTGTAGCCCAAGACTGGTTGCCCACTAAAGCTAAGCAGGGCTGAGCCTGGTTAGTACCTGGATGGGAGACCTTCTGAGAAAGCCAGGTTGCTTCTGGAAGAGGTGTTAGTGAGGCCAGTCTGTGTGGGTCCTAATGCCCCAGTATAGTAATGGGGATACTATACTGTCAAAGAGCACTGTCCTTCGGATGAGACGTTAAACCGAGGTCCTGACTCTCTGCGGTCATTAAAAATCCCAGGATGTCTTTCGAAAGAGTAGGGGTGTAACCCCCGCATCCTGGCCAAATTTGTCCAGTGGCCTCTGTCCATCATGGCATCCTAATCATCCCCATCTATACCAATTGGCTTCATCACTGTCTCCTCTCCACCAGTAAGCTGGTGTGTGGTGAGCGTTCTGGCGCACTATGGCTGCCGTCGCATCATCCAGGTGGATGCTGCACACTGGTGGTGGTTGAGGAGATTCCCCCCTCTATGTAAAGCGCTTTGAGTGCCGAGAAAAGTGCTATATAAATGTAATGAATTATTATTATTATTATTATTATAGTGGCCAATTGTGGTTACCACTATGTGAAACAAATTAGCTATAACAAGTATTCATCATGTGTGGTTACATGTAATTTAAATATTCATACAAACACACATTTTATTTCTGTAGTTCTCAAAATCCATATACTGTATATTGCTGAAATGAAAATCTATATGTTTACCAAATGATTAATTGATTAACCATTAGGATCTGTTAGATTAAATAATAGACGAAAGTATTAAACTGAACAAAAAGAGATGCAAATCAAAAGTTTGATAGTAAGAGCTTTACAGTTACTGTGAATGAAACAATAATGTAGATGAAACACTTATTTTGTGTTGTAAAAGGATACTTGTGTGAATTGTACTAACACAGTTGAAAACATGATGAAATGTTTGAAAAAAGTGCACTTTTGATGATCTGCTGTGATATTAGCACTAAGAGTTTTGAAAATGTACACCTTACTTGTGAAAATAGTACCAAAGCGAATAAAAAAAAAAACTGTAAATTTCAAGGGGCCCTGGGGCCCTGGGCCGTGTTGAGGCCACGCCGAGCACCCAGGAGAAGTGAGGAAGTCAGAAGAGTGGGTGATTGGAGTCGTTGTTGGTCGGAGTCCTGGTTCCAAACTCCTGAGATTGTCCTTGGTTCTTTGTGAGAGAGTCTTCTATCTCCTGCATGAGCCCATATCTGGTTGGATCAAGGCATGATGGGCCCTCAGGACCCCCGTGGAGGGGGAGGGGTTTCCCCAGTATCACCAGAAACAGTGTTTGCGGCTGGATTAAAAAAAAAAACAAGAGTGGGATGTCACATGTGGACTGTCTCTTATAAAGCCTGAGAAAGATCCAAACCCTAAGGGTTGACTGGACCAATAAGCATGGTGAAATGTCCGAGTGGGAAGGTTGCTCTATTTAATTTACAAGTCTTTGTACCAAGTGTGGCTATACCTTCATCAATGCTCAGATAGATATACCACATCCACACTGCATTCTAGAAGAAGGTGATGTACATCAAAGTGTGTGTCATTAAATGAGGATTAATTAGGTAGGAGGCATGATACAGGTGAGGTGACATTGATCGTTAGTTGGTTGTATACCAAGGTTCATACCATAATATATACATAAAAGTACACAAGACAGTAAACCATTTACACTGTTTTTTTGTTTGTTTGTTTTTTTACAGTTTTATGCTTGTTCATAGTCTATGACTAATGCAGCAAAGTCTGTATTAAAGATTCTGTCTTCCCATTGTCTCTCTGTTGCGCATGTGTTATCAGCCCTGTAACATGACACTATTTCAGCCCCGGTGTTCATAGTTTTGGAGTTTGATAAACCTTTGTATATAATGAATGTTTAGTGTGTGTCTGATGGGTCCAGACCCTACAGATGTTATGACGGTAATGGTTATTTTTTTGTATTTATTTTCGCAGGTCTGTTGTCAATTTCGATGAAATTACAATGGCTCTAGCCTTTAGCCATTCTGATGGACTGATATACTGTAATACATATGGATAGGTCCAGATCCAAATCACTGCATGCTTCCATGTCTTTTTTGTGCAATAATCTTCTTCTTGTCTGTTTTAGTTTGTAATACTTGCACTGAAAATGAGACTTGCCAGGAGAGAGATGGTGTCTATGGCTGTTGTTGCTTGCAAGGACAAAGACCAAATCCTGAAAACTTTGGTAAGTGTTCCCACACTTGTGTATTTTCACAGTCTACACTCTGCTCTTTTCTCATTCTGTGGAATTGGTTAATTTGGGTCCTCATGTGTTCATTTCTGTATGTGCTCAACTGGACTTACTGTACAAGACCCACTTTTAGGAAACCAACACACTTGTCCTAACTACGCCACCGGGGGTTATATACCCACGGAAATAACACCATCCCAAGTTCAAACAAACAGTAATTGGGAAAACAGCGAAGACATGACCTTCAAGTTTAATGACTGTCATTGTTAATGAGTCATAAACATCTGAAGAAATAATCACTTTTAGTTGTGTTTATTATAAAAGGAGCAATAAAACTTAATCAACATAGACATTAGGTTGACTATTAAATGTCACAATCCACTAGTTTTACCATAGGAGTGACCAAGCCTGTGTGAAAATGAGAGCACACACCACACGTGAGTGATTCTCAAGAGTTTAAAATCACTTCTAAAAGCAAAACCAGTGCATTATACAAACCACTCTACACTCCCAAATCCATACACATGCAGTGCAGGAAATCTCACACCAGCTGAAGTGAAGGAAAGGCCCAAACGACCCCAGAGGAAGTACTCTCACACAGGCTGGCTCCTAACACACAAAGGAATATACAGTAAATTAACACTCCACTGTACATATCATATCCAAACACAGCAGTTGGTGAAAACCAAACTCAAATAATATAATCAGTACACAAAAATAAGAAACCACAAATAAAACAAAACCAGAAAATCAATATATAACCAAAACTTTAAGGTTATTATAACGAAAAATAAATCATAAACAAAACAGTAGGGCCTAGACGTCAGAGGTCCACGTGCATGGGACTCCACAAAGGAGGATCTGCCAAATAAACACAAAACAAACCATAAATATCTAAAATACAGATCTAAATAGACCTCTGACACAAATTCCATGCAACATCATTACAACTTCAACTTACAGAATTGTTAGATAATTCAATAATTAGACATGAAATGTCAACACCAACCCAAACCTGACAATCTAACACACACATACCTCTGTCATAATCTACAAGTAAAACATAGACTGGGTGAATGATTCGTGGCTATGGATTAAACACGGCATCCAGCGCTCGGGACTAGCCCAAATCATCCACACAATTAAATCACCCACACACTCACACTCTTGCAGGACCTCCGCCCTTCGTTTAACATGAAATCAATAAATAAAAACATACTTACATCTTTATATTAGAACAAAAATGCCACACTCGCAACTCTCTATGATGCTTCTGGATCACAACACTGGATGGAGATGGAAAAGGTCAAAGCGTCAGGAAGTTATGCCGTCTACTCGCTGTCGCGCTATTTATAGATATAAAATATACACGCCCCGCCCCATACTGAATCCTTACTCACACGGTCCCATAGACAAGATGTTTTAAGAGTGCTGCAGTAAAGGCCAAATAAGGCATGAACTGCTAGTGATAAACCAACACAGAAAACAGTATTGCAATCGTCCACTGTCACAATAATTTATTTCACAAAAACATTTCCACCTACATCTATTAATGTGATCTCAAATTAAATTAACCCCCACACACACACAAAATATTCATGTATATAATCTTTGCAATCCTTTATCTGCTCAGATGCTGTGGAGTCTTGTGCCAGCAGCACCGGCTCCATATCTCTATCCCGCTGCCAGCTCTTCGAATCTGGTTTTTATCCTGAGCACCTGCACCTAAATGACCCAAACTGCACAGGAACCCTCGAGGATGGCAGACTTGTGTTTTATTTCGACAATAAAGGCCACGTATGTGGTACCACTCTGATGGTAATGATCTTTCAATTTCTGTTTCATCACTAGAGCTACTTATAAGATGCATATCCATACTGAATATACAGTCTTATGTGTGTAATGATTAGTAAACTGTGTGCCATTGCTTGAAGTTTACATTTATTCTCCTCCTCAGAGCAACAGGACTCACTTCATCTACCAAAACTCCATTCAGTCTAACCCGACGGACACTGACCACCGCATCATTTCAAGACAGATATGGATGAACATGACATTTTCTTGTGTGTACCCTCTGATCCAGACCATATCTATGCCCGTGGCTTTCCGAGCCGAAGGCGGGTAAGGGTTCTCAATATCTTCTGAAGAACAGTGTGTAGGATCAGACTATAGATCATTACCTTGATTCAGGCTGAAAAATGTTGATTTCTGTCATATTTAGGAACAAAATTTATGTTACACTAGTCAGATTTCATTGGTGATCTCAAATATGAAATTTATTTGTAAGCTTGGCAAACTCTTTTGGAGAATTTGATGTTTCCACATTCAAAAAGATAGGAGCTGCACTTGCGTGCCCGAGAGGTGTTTTAAAGATGGCCGCCAAATTAAATGACTGTCTGAATACTACCAAAGTCGCTTTAAGACCAATCTATAATATTTTTTGGTAACACTTTATATCAAGGTTCCATTGGTTAACATTAGTTAACTACATTGCTTAACTCAAACTAACAATGATAAATACTTCTAATGCATTTATCTTAATGTTAATTTTAACATTTACTAATGGATTATTAAATAATCACATAATTATCAAAAGTTTTATCTATTAATGTTATTAAATGGACCTGAATTAACATGAACCAAGAATTAACAGTAATAACAAATGTATTGCTCATTGTTAGTTGATTTTAGTTTATGCACATTAATGGGACCTCCAGTGTGACTGTTTTTTAATTGCAGTGATCAAAGGATGACTGTGATCTTGATAATATTTTCTAATACTTTCTAATATTTAACACGTCTGTCTTTTAGAACATGACATAGACTGCTTATTATATACTCAAATTAATCAGATCAATTATCTAAGTGTTGATAAAGCAATAATGTGATGATAAAGAATTGATAAAGGTTACAGTGGTTATAAAGCAGGTTTGGAGCTTAACCTGATAACTGAAAGGCTGGAGGTTTGAGTGTCATAAGGCATGAGCTGTCACCATTGCAGTTCACTTAGACCATGGTTGCTGTTATTTTTATGTGTTTGCCTACAGTGTGATAAGTGAGGAACTTCCTGCTGGCCAGGGCACATACCAGATCCGCATGATTCCCTACCTTGATGCAGAGTTTACTAGCCCATATGACGGAGAGGTGCAAATCCAGGTGAACCAGCGGATATATGTGGCTGTCGAGGTGGAAGGAGTGGATAGAAACCAAATCGCAACAGTTCTGGACAAGTGCTGGGCCACACCTGTTAATGATTCAGAATATCATGTTCACTGGAATCTGATTATCAACGAGTGAGTGACTTGATGTTTAAATGGTTATATGGTCAAATTTGTTTCCATCTCAACAAAATTGGATAACACTTTGAAAATAATGGTCCATCACTAATAGGGAAGTAATGCAGCAAAAATGAGGACTACATTAACACTTTAGATAGTACTATTAACTAATATGGAAACCAGATGAACTAATCATCTAGTAATAGTGAATTTATGACTGAAATAGTTCTTTATTAATTTGATTCTATAAGAATTGATTGCATAATTAAAAACTGGCACAGTCCTATATTAGCTATTACCTAATGATTAGTTCATCATATTTCCATATAGTGTTGCTTTCTTCAACGAAAATTATGACTAAATATTGTCGTCAACGAACCTTTATCACGTGACGAAAACGAGACGAGACGCAACGTAAATGCTGGTCGTGTGACGATGACTATAACTAAATGTATAATGCAATATCGTTGACGAATAAAAACGAGACTAAATGTGGTTTACAAAAATAAAAACTATGCTAAAATGTCTCTTCATTTTCGTTGACCAAAACGAGACGAAATGTTATTTAACGTTATTTCGTCTCGTACTTGCATTATTATTATGCAGCATTTCTGTTTCCTGTGTCACTTCAGGGGCTGCATCAGATCGCACTGTGCAAACCTATGCGATTTCAGATCAAGCCCCACTCGCGGCATTATTTAGAAGAAGCAGCTGTTTGAGTTACAGCTGTTTCACACACACTCCGTGTGTAGAGTGTATGCGGTGTGTGTTGCTGTGTGAATGCAGGAGCAGCGCACGTTATTGCTTTCACATGTGCTGCGTTTGCAGTGCGCAACTGATCTACGGCTGTACCACAATCACAACATTTATTCTCTATTTTTTATTTCAAATCAGTATTTTAGCCTACATCCATTGCGCTAGAGCGCGTGGTATAAGCGCTAATCTAATAACTGTAACATGGGTGCGGGAAAAATGCGCACTGCAAACGTATGCGTGAAACAGGCGCATAAATGAAAACAAACGAAGTTAAGTCTGACACAGAGAAAGGTCTTTGGGAGAAAAAAAAGAAATGACATTTGGAAAAACTTTCATTTCATCATGCGTGTAGGCTACTTCTAACATGTTTGGTTGGTAAAATAAATATGTAAATTCAATTCAGAGCGTCTTCCGTGTCTGGAAAAGATGTATTCTTGAGTCTATAAGGTAACAATAATATAAGAAGATAAGATTGTTTGAAATGGGTTTGGCTAAAAGAAAAATTTGGTTTCGTCTATAGGCTAGCCTACTACTAGGTAGGCTACTTGACTGGGTTAAATAGAATTGCCCACTAAAAAGAGACTAAAATACAATTTTTATTGACTAAAATTAGACTGTCTTTCGTCGACTAAAACTAGACTAAAATGTCATCAGTTTTCATCGACTAAAGCTAGACTAGACAAAAAAAGAGTATGAACGTGACTAAAACTAATATGTCTAAAATGTCAGCTTGACACAAAGACTAGACTAAAACTAAAATTAAAACAGGCCGCCAAAAACAACACTATTTCCATATACAGTAAGTTAAGAAAATGTGTCCTTCTTGCACAGTTACCTATTAATGATGGACCATTATTCTAAAGTCTGACCAAAACATACTTGGTGCCTAGTTCATACCAAATACATCACAAACCAGGCATTCAAATTTTGCCATGCTCTAATTTTCCCTTTCTTACCTTCCCTTGAAAAACCCTCCTCCCTTCCTAGATGCGCCAACCCTGAAGATACCACAGTGGAAGTCCTTCAGAACGGTATTGATACAACAAGCCGTTTCTCCTTCAGGATGTTCACCTTCTCAGGAATTTCTGACCACTTCTTCCTGCACTGTCAGGTTCATCTTTGCCTTGTACAAAATGGCAGATGTGCTCTGGTAAGTTTGGTCTGGTAACAGTAAATCTCAACAGCATTACTGATAGTAGCCTTCAAGCAAATTGTAAACCTTTTACAACTGGTCTTTCTAATAGAAAACACATTCAACTTCAACAGCCTTTGCATTGTAGAAAGCATGTATTTGAGGTTAAATTTATATTCTTGTCTGCCATCTTCAGTTATGCGACCGTGGATATAGAAGAAGAAGACACCGATCTTTGGACTTCCTCCACTCTACAGCGATCTCCATGAGTCTGAAAGCTCAGTAACCCTGATGAATGAAAGATCCTGTATTTATAATCAATATGTTCAGCACTTTCTTTAAAAAAGTTTTGCAAGCACTTTTAAATCTACATTTTAAAGAAGCAATCATTAATAACTAAATGATACTGAACTGAAAAAGGACTATAAAATTTAACAAAGATTTTTTTTAACAAAAATTCTTTAAAAATCTCTCTAATAACTCTCTGTATACATGTATTGTTTTATCGTTATTGAGGAAGTGCTATTCAAAACAATATATACAAACTAAATGATTTTAGGTTGTTGGGTGAATATTGGGTTAAATTTACTATAAATGGAAAAAAAATTAAATAATACGCTGTCTATCTTTCTCTTTGTTCAAGGGGGAATCTTGTAATACAATATACCTGACTAACATTGAATAAACCTGCTTAGAAATGAAGAAAAAATGTTGTAATTTTTTTCTTGAGTTTTGTGTGTTTAGATTGAATTAAATGTTTTAGTCCTACTTACATAGTATTGAAGATAATGAACAGGTCACTCAGAGGTTACACATCTCTTCTTAAAATGTAATCTGTAGTTTGGACATAGTAAGAAAAATAGTCTTTACTGTACTAGTGTTACTATTGTACTATAATGAGGTGTTCCACTCAAGGTTGTATAAATTTGTCAGGTCTGTTTAAAGTATGAGGTGAAAACTTAGGGATTTTACGGGAAACGTAAGGATTTTATTGAGGTGCAAACAAACAAAAAGAAAAACATAAACAAATCTGTGGTGGAAAATCGCACAGTCTGGTGCTAGTAGTGGCAGGACTGGAGCACAGCACACGGGCACAAAGGCCAAGGCAGGCAAGACACTTCAGGACCAGAGACCTAAACAGGGAAACATCCTCAACAATCTGGCACAGGACAGAACAAACAGGAAGATTAAATAAGGAAGGTAACAAGGGAGAGTAGTAGGGAAAATTAACTAATGAGTTAACAACGGGGTGAGGTCAAGACACAGCTTGCCTCACCGTACTAAATGTGTTACAATTAGCAGACACCCGATGTACACACACTCACATACACTGGCCTATACTCATGTATGTATACACACATGTACGCACACACACGCCTGATTCACTACCTTTGTGGGTACTCTCCATTAGGGGTGGTGAAAAAATCGATTCTTAGGGTGTATTCACACCTGCCTTGTTTGGTTCGATTGAATCGAACTCTAGTTCTAGTCTGGTGCGGACCAAACAACCGAACCGAGACCCAGCTGAAGAGGTGGTCTCGGTACGGTTCCAAACGAACTCTGGTACGGTTCGTTTACGGTGTGAACATGAACCGACCCAATTGCAAGAAAGCTCTGTGTCGAAAGAGAATATTCCGGCGCGCTGTCTGGCCACACGATACGTCTTTCTGCGTGTCGTGTGTGCATCATTATTGGAATGGAATGAATGAATGAATGAGTGTGTGCATCAGGACATTCACATACAGAGCGTTCTCTTTAGTGTAATCGCGCAGATGCAAAAAAAAAAAATTTGCAGTTCATAAAGCATTTGCAGTTCACCACCTTTTGGTGGTGGTTGACGAGATTCCCCCTTCTATGTAAAGCGAGTGCCAAAAAAAGTTCTATAAATGTAATGAATTATTAATATTATTATTATTAATGTAAGGATAGTTACAATACAAGGATGATGATGCGTTAATTTACGTTAAACTGGACAAACTTAATCGCAAGCGTTAACATTGACCGCACTTGTTAGTACACAATAAGAATCTCATTATTTGAATGTGTGAACATAGCCGCTCTCTATGAATGAAAACTTTATACCTTATCCGTCTTCTGTGCAGTGCCACTTGTAACGCAAAGTTGAGATGTTGCCCAGAGATAAAAAAAAAACCAGTAGATGGTCGAATGAAAAGATGCACGAGAGACGAGAGTTGTCGTATTTCCCCGCGTTTAACAGAACCACTCAAACGTTACACTCGTCGTCTTCTCAAAATCCGAATTACAACATCGTATAGATCAGTGGTTTTCAATAGTTAAGACCCGCCTCCCCTGGGGGGCGCCAAAGAGCGATAGGGGAGGCACGAGTCAGTTTATAATACGCGACTTTCCCGTTAAAACAGCACGGGTTGCGTTTTTATTTAAAAAAAGGTAGCTTGTTAGGAAAATCTGACATGCAACTTTGTTTTCTTTACATCTATCAGTTGCTGATACGGATTAGCCCACATAAGCAGAGAGCAGTCTGTTTTCTTTCATTTTGAATGATTCTGTTTAAAAGTATAAAAGGTTACCGTTTTCTCAATCTCCAATACATTGATTGACACTGTCTGCTCCCAGCTATAGCCAATCAGTGCAATCATATAAGTGCTGTGGCGTAATTCGTCAAAACATCGAGCCGAATTCGGCAATTTCAGCGTTATGGAGGAGATCCATAATTCCCCGATAATTAAATATTTTAATAAATAGGCCTATGTGAATTAGCTACACTGCACAAACCAAAAGTAATCCTACCCACCGGATGAAGAAGGGTTGACTCTCCCCAGAACATAAAATCTTCATTTTATTTTATTTTCCGTGTTTGCATTTATGAGGAAAAAATGCAGGCGTGACCGTTCTCTGGAAGCAGCACTAAAACTTTCACAGAGCCTAAACAGAAAGCACAAAGCCTTTCTTTAAAGTGATTTTCGTTTTGAAATAATTTTATCTTTATTTAAATCAATGTTTCATCAACCAATTACCAGGATTTATTTAATAATAAGAAATAAATATTGCAGACAATGGCCTAATCACGACACGGCGGCGGCACGTGAACTAGGTAAAGCTCGTCTCATGAACCGAAAGTCAGCGTATAAGGTATCTACTTGCCTCACAGACCTGAGAAATATATATATATATATATATATATATATATTGAAATGTCTACTTTTAAATAGAACCATTCAAAATGAAAGGAAACAGACTGCTCTCTGCTTATGTGGGCTAATAATCCGTATGAAAAGTGAATTTCTCTCTGGCACCTCTGTTCAATCTTTCTGATTTTAGAACATTTTTGTAAAAGTGCCTTTTTAATTATTTATTGATTACAAAAAACTTAAAATAATTTGAGCTTCAGCCTGGTTAAATCGCATTATATTAATTTATTTGGTCAAATTAAGCTATAAAATAAATAGTTTATCCCTTAAAATGCAATGGATTTTGAAAAAAGGCGATTTTCTCAGGTTTTCAATTGGAAACAAGGGCAGACGACCAGAATTCAATCCTTTACAACCATTCAAGGAATGACTTTGACTAAGATATCATTTGAAAGCATTTGGTGTCCTCTTTCCACTTAATACCAAAATCTCAATTTTTAAATTTGGGTCACTGTGACTCATTTTGCTGGATCAGGTCACATTGTCTCGCGATATTTGGCAACTCTGGGCACGACACTGTAATAAAAAAATAACTGTAGCCTATGCAGCCATTTTGATATCGGTAAATCCGTGTATTAGCTTTAAAAATTAAAATGCATCGTTTCCTTGTCCCAGAAGAAAGTATTAAGAGAGGAGACAGTCACAGGACCCAGCAAAAACGTAGGAAATATGATCCTGAGTATTTAAAGTTAGGTTTTACCTGGTCGGGGTCCGAGGCTGCACCTCTGCCGCACTGTGTGGTCTGCAAGGAGGTGCTAGCAAATGATAGCATGAGACCATGCAAACTTCGGCGTCACATTGACACTAAGCACACGAATTTAGTGAACAAGCCAGTTGAGTTTTTTGAGAGGAAGCGTGATGATTTGCAGTCTCAAAAAAGCATAATAAAGTCGTTTGGTACCGTTAACATGAAGGCGACAGAAGCTACTTATCGTGTCGCACTACGTGTAGCGAAGGCAGGCAAACCCCATAACATCGGCGAAACATTGCTGCTCCCTGCAGCTAGAGATATGTGTTGAGTGATGCTGGAAAAAGCAGCTGCTGCTAAACTTGACGCGATCCCTATCTCTGTTAATACCATCCAGCGACGAATATCAGACATGGCTTGTGATGTCAAAGAGCAGGTCCTGGACTGTGTTCGTGAAAGCCCCTTTCACGCCATTCAGCTGGATGAGTCTACTGACGTCGCACAGTGTGCTCAATTGATGGTGTACGTTCGCTTTATCAAAGAGCACAGTGTGCAGGAAGATTTTTTGTTTTGCGTTTCTCTACCCGCCCACACAACAGCTGAAGAACTTTTCAAGGCCTTGAATAACTTTTACCAGGCTAATTGCCTTGACTGGGGCCGGTGTTGCAGGATATGCACTGATGGGGCAAGAGTAATGACTGGCTGTCACAGCGGTCTAGTAAAACAAGTGCAGGCAGTTGCCCCTGCGGCTGTCTGGAAGCACTGCATTATCCATCGACAGGCTTTAGCAACAAAAAGGATGCCCCAAGAATTGCGTGCCGTTCTTGATGAGGCTGTCAAAACTGTGAACTTAATTAAATCGCATGCCTTAAACGCCCGTCTATTCTCAATTCTCTGCAATGAGATGGACGCTTAATTCCAGCAGCTGCTCCTGCACTCCGAGGTCAGGTGGCTCTCTTGGGGCAAAGTCCTCACCAGGCTGTATGTTTGCGCGAAGATGTCCTCCTCTTCCTCACTGAGATTAAATCCCCACTGGCAAAACATCTGGCAGACATGAACTGGCTTGCTCGGTTGGCCTATCTCTCCGACATCTTCGACAGAATCAACTCCCTCAACACCTCTCTCCAGGGCAAAGAGTGCCACGTCTTTTCGGCACACGACCAAGTGTCTGGGTTCAGGAAAAAGCTGGACTTGTGGTGTGCTCGTGTTGAACGAGGTTCGTTGGAAATGTTCCCAACCCTGGAGGATGTTGTGGAGAAGACAGGGCTGCCTCTTAACTCTGTCCAAACAGTCATCACTGCGCATTTGAATGGGTTGCGTGACCAGTTTGGCGAGTATTTTGGAGAGGACGCATTGGGAAATCAGTGGGTGAGAAATCCGTTCTCTTTCCCCGCCTCACCCCATGATGGACTGAGCCTGCAGGAAGAGGAGGCCCTGGTCGAGCTCAGCTTGAATATGGACTTGAAGCAGCGACTGGGAGAAATGCCGATCACGCGTTTCTGGTTTTCTGTGGAGAGCGAGTTCCCCCAGATCTCCAGTAAGGCTACGAAAGTCCTTATCCCCTTCACCTCCACCTACTTGTGTGAGTGTGGGTTTTCCACACTGACCCTGATTAAAAACAAATACAGATCAAGGCTGCAGGTGGAGGACGACTTGCGTTTATTTCTCTCTGGAGTGCAGCCCCGCATCGAACACCTCATTGCATCAAAAGCGCGGCCTCATTGTTCCCACTAATATGGACGATTAAATTGAAACTCACGTGTTGTCTTGAATGCATAAATTGGTTGATCCATAGAGGGTTGATGCCGCTCTTGTAGCGCAAATGACGTGAACGTCACATTTTG